CCACTGCCACATCTGCCTTTCTGTCCTTGACACACATGCACAGTAGTGGTAACTGGGGTAGAGTGTGGACATCACAAGACATTATACAGACAGGCTCTGGTATCGTGGCTACCCAGCAACGGAGCTCAAAAGTGTGGGATCTTTTTAAGAAAATGAAAGAGAAACCTGTGCAATATCTGCAGAGCAGAACTTGCCTTCCACAGCAATTATTTTGAGTTAGCATATAGCTAAAATCTAACGATGGTTATATAATAGCAGCTGCATTCTGGYACGATAAGCTCTATGTTTTATATTCAATTAAAGTATGATCCGATCAGTCGACTAATCGAAAAAAATAATCGGTGATTAATCAATTATAAAAATAATCGTTTGTGGCAGCCCTACAGGGGGTACACAAGTCTAAAAAGGCTGGGAACCACTGTCTTAAGTGAATCAGTGTAAGTTCCTCTAAAAGGATGAAAATCATATTGCTTGTTAATGCAAGTGCATATTTTCAGTGTGAATATGAGAAAACTGCAATTAGCAATGAATGACTCAGTCAATCCATGCCAGGTTCCCCCAATGACCTCAAATGGTAACGGATATGAAAGTGGATAAAAGCATTTGAGTATATGTGCAAACAATCTAAATGGTATTTCTCCCAGACATGCTGATGGCTTTGTTATGAGGAAACAACGCTCAGTGTAGATTACCAACATTAAAACAGTAGTGAGGCTATAATTACAAAACAGTAATGGTTAATGTGTTTTCTTTTGAGTTTAATATCGCCTGGTGATAAAGAGAGTAATCAGAGGGTCGGCTCAGGTTGAGCAGGTTTGGAGGTGAGGTGAGGCTGGGATAACTTGAACCTGTGTGGAGGAGGGTTAATGGGTATGCTGGACAAAAGATGTTGATGTTATTTTGTGACATGTTGGGAATAGGGCAATGAGCCGCTGTGGCCACCTTTATATGGATCAGCCAAAAGCAGTACTGCCTCTAAATAGTGTGCCAAATTGAATGTAGTATTAAATACCAACAACTAAAGCATCTGTCAGAACAACTCAGTTATATACCAGAACTGGTCAATATTTCTACATGAAGGATCAAGTTCACATTGTAAGCACACAGCTTCTTATGTGCTCGATGAACAAGCGCTGTACTCACCAGTGGAACCATAGATAGCGTTCACCACCATCGAAGGGTGATCCGAGTCAGAGACCTGACCGGCAAATACTGTCGGACCTTTTCCTGGGCTCATCAGTCCCAACGGCCCAGACGAACCGTCAAACGAGCAATTAGGTGAGACCTCCGTTTGATCCTGGAACGAAAAACAAACCATTACTACGTCATTCAAAACATGAGAAAATTAAATAAAAAGCATGATGATTGCAATGCATCAAGTATACACAAGAAATAATGCTTGAAGAAAAATGCATTACTTTATTTCTCATGTGTGTGTTGTAAATATGTGCTCATGGGACATCCCTCTGAGGGTTAGGAAATACTCCAGCAAAGAATGGATTATTAAGTGTCTTTTCCAGAAATGCATAATTTCTTTAGGGATTTAATTTACATATATTTGATTTTAATGTCTAGAAACTAATGTGCAACCGTTAATACACATCCATTTGTGCTATTCTGAATTTGTAACACAAGACATTTGTGTTCCGTTGTGTTTTTTGTTTTGCGACTGTATCAGATAAACCCTCTTCTCTAACAACAAATACATAACAGTAGAATGTATGTCTGTGTAATAAATCCTCCCTGTCATCCCACTCTTGACCTCGCACCGCGCACCGGCGCCTGGCCCTCCCGCAGCGCCTCCTGGATGCATCATTCTTCAGTGGGTTAGACATCATGTTGGCCCCCCTCCCCGGCTCTCCCATTAACCCACGTTACAGAGCAATTGGATTTCTCTAAAAAGATAAATGCTTCTTTCGCAGACACCAAAAAAGTTTGTTGAGTAATGAAGCATTGGGTTCGAAGCAGGCAGCTTATACCAAACATACCGGGATCACATTGCTGTAATATTATTTTATTTTTTTTTTATTTATTTGTTTGGTTTTAATTAACCAAAGTATCAGAAGTATGACTAAAAAGGGAAAGAAAGCTACCTTTGTTTGCATGTTTTATGCATTGCTTGTACACACGTATTTGAAATAATAATGTTGGCTTGCCTTGTAGACTGGGTCTATTATAATGAAGAAATCTAAGATAACTGGGATGTTTTAAAGGGGCAATATCATGTAAAATCAACTTTTTTGTGTTTTATATCATTTTATAATGTTAAACTCTCATAAAAAACATGCCCAAAGCCTTGCTTTGACTCATTCATGCATGTTTGAGAAATTCTGCAG